CCTTCGGCACGAGTCGGTCAACTCTCCTGGGGCACCTGAGTTAATACTTTTGCAGATGGCGCTGACCTTAATGGCCGCAGCACTTGGTTCAGCGAACCTGTTCGGGTACTGGAACTGCTCGACGGAATCCAAACGGCGGCTGCAGCAGATAGCTTCTTCTACTGTATTTAAGGCCGCGTTGGCACGCATGGCAAGCCTGTTCGTTTAAACCGCGTGAAGGACGGGTCGACATGACAGTTGGGTCGGCTCTTGTGATGGGAACTTTGTGCTTATGTGTGGCGCACTGATTCGGGCGGGACAGGTCATATTTTTATCGGCGTGAAAGCATCCGGCTAGCCGGTCGTGGATTTGATCTGTGAGAGTAAGGCTGACATTTTAAGTTTGGAAAAATTTGCTGAGGGAACCAACATTGAATGAGAACCATAGGACGCTATAAGTCGGCCAGAGTGCAAAAGCCGGTGTTGCTGGCATGGTTGATGGATTCGCATGGGTTGAAGACTCCGGTTGACGACTGTGATGTCGGGATGCTGACGCTACGTGATAGAAAAGGAGGTTCAGTTTGTCGTTGCGGCACCTAAGGAGTCCCTAATGAAATTGGCTGGTATTTACAGGGAGGGCGACGGAAGGACTGATGACGAAGTTTCCTTGTATGAGGAGAGCACATGGTTGGAGGCTTGTTCAAGAATTTTGTTACACCGTCCCAGGCGTGGTGTAATCAATGCAGCCGAACTCACGGCCCTACGGGAGATCGTCGAGCATCTAGAAGACGTTGATCCGGAGAACAAATTTGCCCCCATGTCAAATCTTATCTGTCAAAAGAGTGTGGGTCGGACGATGTCAGAATTGTTGAAGATGTTGGAGGACGCGGATGGCTGTGATGATGAGTCAGGTTATGAGCCTTTGGAAGTTGTTGATTACAGACCCCTGACCTCTGTCGAGTGCACGAGTCTTCGGGGTACTGTCTCCAGAGAATGGTTATCGGTTCTGCCAGAATCATCCCACGAGGATGTGGAAGCCGGCCTGGGTTGGGGTGCGACGCGATGTCACCTGACCCGGTGTCGCCTAGCACTCGCTGCGGGTACCCTTCTAACAGTCGGGCTAGGGTTGGCATGCTTGATGTTGAGGGGGATTGGTCACTCAAAGGTTCTGGAAGTGAGAGATTCTCCCCGGACTTCTCCCCGGACTCAGCCCCCCACGACCACTGAGAGACCGGGTCCTTTCAAGGTCAAGATGAGCAGACGGGCGCTGGCTTGGACAATGAACAGTAATGAGACCGAATGCCGTGAAGCGTTCAATTCAGTTAGTTACAGGGACGGCAGTTGGCCGGTTTTGACGTTAGAAGTGGGGTCGTATCCGTGTGGTGGTGGCAGTGGACAATTGTTGTGTGCCGCTGGTGACGCTTTAACTGACGACATTGGCGGCACCTGCCACCACTTCGGGGGTCCAGCGTATGATGTTTTTGAGGTGAAGGATGCGATTAGACGTATTTTACATACGAACGAAAACTGCGTTGTACGTTGCGACGATGAAGAAGCAAAGGTACGTAATATGTGGCAAGAAGTACAGAAGCTGGCAAAGATTCCTATCTACCCGAACTCAGGCTTCCTTTATTTTACGCAAACGCCAGCGGTTCCCAATATGGCAGATTTCCAGATGATGCTGCAGCCTCGCTATCCCGTCGAAAAGAGTTGTTCAGGGTCGTGTGTTGACTGTAATAATATGTTCACCGGTCCTGAAGAAAACCGTGTTCCCTCATGTTATTGTAATTTAGTAAATATTACATGTCTTGTACGTCCTGAGACTGAACAGGTGGCCCAATGGATCGACCATATCGGGTTATACACAACCTTACAACAGGCGTTTGAAGGAATGTCTCCTTTCAATACCGAGGACGAGATCTTTGATGTTCGGGAATGCGTATATAAATGTCATCATCCGGTACCGGAGCTCCGTAATAAAGATTATATTTTGGAGAGGGAGCTCGCAGGTCCTGACGATCCCCTCATTTGGAGACTGTCTAGACTCGAGTTGAGAAAGCTTCAGCTCTTTTTGGAACAGTGCCACAACCATTCTGGCACCCTACAAAGGTTGGATAAGATTGGCAAATATCCATGTGGTGGTGGCAGTGGAGTAATGATGTGTGGAAAGAGCACAGGCGTGCGCCGTTCTTGTCATCGTTTTGGTCCTCAGTGGATGGATATCTTTGCAATGGAAGATGCGGTACGACATCATCTCCACGGAATTGATGGGTGTAAAGTGCGATCCAAAGAGAACAGTAGCTCTTGATTTGTCAAGGCAAGCTAAAACTCGTTTGTGGAAAGAATCTGATATAGAACAGAAAAATGAATTAGCAAGAATGGATTTCCTAAATGCTCTGATGACTGAGTACCCTGCTGATAAAGAATGTTCATCGATCTGTTATCCTGACCAAGGCAATTGTAATATTCCCAACTGTCTCTGTCGCGTCGCTCATGCCGAATGCGCCATCCGTGTTGAAGGCGACAAAATTGAGCATTTAATAGAATCCTACGGATTTGATGCAAGGCTACCTGACGTCTTCGGTGTCTTGTCTGTCCCAGGTGCTAATGCCAAAGAGGGACACAACAAAACCAAACACATTCAGACCAAGATGTGCTACGCTGGATGCCACGGAATTGTGTCGCCAAAACCGGTTTCCGAACTACCATCCTCGACCACAGAAGAGCAACACCCATGATGGATTAAACTTGTGGGACAGACAGTTTTGGTTGTACAGATTTCTCCATAACCCCTTGCACACCTAGTGTGTACCTTGTTCCTCTCCGCCACTCTCTAGCCCAGTTTCAGTGGGTCTTTAGAAGGCTAGGTAATTTTGTCGTTTGAAAATGGAGGGTCCGATATCTGTGACGATGCCCGCTGACCCAAAAGTGTCGGTGTCGGGCAGTCCCAGCACGGCCAGTGTGGCTTCAGGCTTGTTTCAAACCGCCAAGCACCCTACAACTTGCGTGCTGCACATCGCATTCAAAGTCGCAGCTCTTGTTATGTAATCACCCTCGCGTGCTTTCCCCCTCACGGCACACGGGGATGCCTGCACTTTGATTTGGGAGTGCCTATCGCCAGATCATTTGCCCGACTATACCGCACACGGGGATGCCTGCACTTTGATTTGGGAGTGCCTATCGCCAGATCATTTGCCCGACTATACCCGCACACGGGGATGCCTGCACTTTGATTTCGGGAGTGCCTATC